AACTACGAGAAACGTTGAGAAAAAATTAAAGAAAATACTTTTACGTTTTCTAGTGATATTGATTGTGTATACTTAATTTAAAAAAAATAAAAAAAATAAAAATTACAGCCTAGATTAACAGCCATTTTAAATTGTCCGTTGAATGAACTGGCAAAAGGTATGCTTCAAGTTAGTTCCTATACTGTAAGAAATAGTCTTTTTGTAAATATTTAATTCTATTACTGTTAAATTGTGTTTTTTTTTATGCGTATGTGATATAAATGTAAATGCCGCATTGGAGTAATCTGTAATGGTTAAAGCTTACTTTAAAAAAAAAGAAATAAGAATAAATCAATAAAAAACTATTACTGCCAAAATGTCTTAACAAGTTTACTTTAACTTTAAATTTCTGGATAGATTAAGGGATGATATCAAACAGTAAAGGGCAGCAATATTCGCGAACCTTCTGGCATTGAGAGTCCATTCAAGTAATTACGTTAACGTAAAAACGTTGTGTAAAACCAAAAAACTTGGCGATTAAAAAGAGTGGCGGAGAGTTTATTGCCAGTTCTTCTCTTCCGTTCTACGCCCCTGATTTGAGAACTGGCAGTAAATGTAAAATTAGAAGCATTTAATGTCATATTTCTTTTTTGACGATCATAAGTGTACATTGTGTTACAATATGAATAAATGATTTTTGACTTAGTAGACATAAAGACGTAAAAATGGCTGGATGGATTACGGGATAACAAACAGTAAAGGCCGGCAACATTCGCGAGCCTTCTGGCATTGATGGGAATCACTTAACATCAGATGAGCTGCCAGTTTTATAAAAGTAAACTAAATTCCATAAAATCCGTTAATCGATATAAACATGTGTAATAAGTTCCGTAAAATGTAAACGAACAATCACGAAGGAATTTATAATTTTAAGACAATTAAAATATGTAGAACAGCGGATGGAATGCGTCCGTGAACACGTCAGAGCGTAACAAAATAGTTTCTTTATGCGTCAAGTGACTTCAACTTATATGGACTAAACCCAATTGTACATAAAGTAGGAATTGTTTAACTATGAGTAAATTCTGATTTATAGATTGACTTCAAAAACGTATTTTGAGACGAATCTCATGTGTTCTAGAATGCGTTGCCGGCCTTTTAAGAATTGGTACGCTCTTTTCTTGAAGGACCTTAAGCCGAATTGGTTCCACATACATAGCGGTGGTGCACAGGCAAAATTACGGGTAGAATTTCGTATTCTGCCTCGATCTGACACTCCATTGTAAAGGTAGAAGATGCAGAGATACATATGACTCTTATTTCACCCTTTGACCACAATTTTTTAATAGCGATATCATAACTGTAATAACTGTGAATTTTAAAAAATTATGTATATGTAAAAACGTTATCTGCCGGGTCAGTATAAAGTATAATTTAAAAAAAAACTAACTATTTAAACAATACCGCGACGAGTGATAAAGCGAATTTCACCAGTTTTGCGAGGGACCGGTTGTGGTCACAGGTGCTATACTCAATAGGCTTAATAGACTTGACATCATCGTTATATCCGACTTCACAAATAATAACCAAAAGATAATATATATTATGTATTATCTTTTACTGGTTATAATAGGTATAAGGATAAAATATGGACACTTGAAACAACAAAATTTATTTCCAGAAGGTCCGGTGACCGGTCTGACCTGCTGGAAATAAATGAGATGACGAAAAAGAAGAGATGACTTTGAACTAGCGGGGAATATGAATGTTACAAAGACAAATGGAAAGAATATGACACTAGAAACTAATACTTACAATAAGAAATGTAAATAATTATTGTATTGATTAATTTAAAAAGCTTTGAAGAGTATGCATAACGAGACAATTATTTTCTGTGAAGCTTTAGAAGCCTGGTTGTAAAGCAACGGATATGTTCTATGTGCAATACTTTCGTATGAAAATACCGGTACGAAGACATGGTGTGCCCACTCAATCAAATAAATATATCACACGCCAAGATCAAAAGTTTGAAGCGCCATCATTATTAATCAAAATAACCAATAAGGGTGGTCTAGTAAAGACAATTGTACGCGAAAATAAAAACCGAGCGGAAGCCCTCATTGAATACAAAAAGACCATTCACAAATCCAACAAAGCAACCCAAAAACATGACTACAAAAAATAACGAAAATTGCGTCTACGCATCGATACCTGCGCTGTGCGCTGTACAATCACCCCTCCCTCTCGGACCCCGCACGTCGCGACGTGGCGCCGGCGCCAGTCAGCCGACAAGCAATTATGGCTAAATAAATATCGGCCATGCCTCCAATGCGATAGCAGATGGATTCTGCTATATAGACGACATCATTACATTGCAGGAGCCGACGTCGCGACTTTTGGGCAGGTGATTATCGCATCCTCTCTGCGATGTTATGTTCAAATGTTCTAAATACTTTCGTGAACGTAAAACATAAATCGCTTTTATGAATCACAGTTTATAAATAATTATGCACAGAGTAACCACAGTTGTATAGCTTACGGTTAACTATAGTTTTCTATATTATATTATATCTATTATACATTCCATAAAAAACAGCAAGTTAAATAAACAAGAAAGTTAAATGTTTAGGTAAGCTCTTCATTTGAACCTTAAGCAAAACTTTACTAAATTAACTAAAAATTTGCAATCAATTTTACTTCATTTTTACGATACGGATTGTAAAATTTAAAAAAAATACAATTCATAATTAAATAAATAGTAGATCAAACGAGTAGGTAAAAATAATTAAATTGATAGCATGAATCAAGCGTCTGCGCGGGAGTCATCAAGGCTTTGGCGGGGATGTCTACAGCGAAAGTTAGCAAAAAAACTGGCGACAGACAGCCGACGAGTGGCGCGACAGAAAAAAACACCCACAGGTGGCCCCAGAACCAGGCGCGACGCAAAACATTTCAATGTAGTATTTTATTATAAGATATCCAAAAGTGCGATAACTGGAAACAGTTATGTTTACTACAGCTATAACATCTGCATGCAACATTGTATGGAATGATAAAATTTTGTAATTTCAAGCGAATTTTGTCACTACAATAAAATTGAGGAAATCAAATTAAAAAGGTTTATTTTCGCGTTTATACGCGTTATCAGTTCAAAATAAATTATTGATTTACAAACAAGTCCTGACACCTGTATGGACCGCCAGTAATAGTAACAGTAGTAACATCCAAGTAATCCAACGATTCCAAAACAAGTGCTCAGGGGAATAGACAATGCTCCCTAGTATATTCGCAATAATGGCCTCCATCGGGACCTTAATGTAGAGGACGTCGCCACAATAATAAAAAGACTGCTGGAGCCCACGAACATAGGCTCCACCATCACGTGAATGTCGTGGTGTCAACTCCTTGACACCACGACCCAGGCCTAGGCCTAGGGTCTTAAAGGGCAAAACCATTTGAACTAGTGAATTATTGTTAGTGCACTGTGCAGTGTGCACGTCAGTATTGAATACACAGTGAGTGAAAGAAAAAAAATAGAACACAAGAACAGTGTCTTCCCTTTAATAAAGACTGTAAGTAGTGTTTGTTATTGGACACTTTCTTATGTAAAAATCCTTATTAGTAAATTAGGTGAGACTTAAATTACTTATTAGTCTTAAGTTATGCTAGATTGTAATGTTCCATGATGACTTAGTAAAGACACATGTATAAAAAAAAATACTCGTAAATGTTAAGTTTTGCCATTCAAATTTGACATTTCCCACGATAGAACCCATAAAATAAAACTGCCTCATTAATCAACGCTCAAAATAAAGTCAGTCATAAAATATCGGCTTTCTCATTAATTAACATGCTAACATTGTCCAAACGCCTACACGTGAACCGCTGCCGAAATGTGGGTGGTTGAAGGCTCGTAGGCGATGCGCGTGAGTCGATACAACAAATGTCATCGCTCGTTATCAATACTAATTTAATCAATGAAAAACACGATAGGTATATTCCAATAAAACTGATAACGGGTGAGCAAATGCGCGAGAGTAGATACGCGGATTGCGATAAAACGACTCGTTCAATATAATTAGGAAATAAAAATTAAGGAAGACAAATACTTAAAAGGTCAGCCGCGGCGCGACTTGTGAGGAAACCGAACGAGGAGTTTAAATAATTACGTACAAAGGCTGACGGCGGCAGCCATTGCTTGGCGAATTAAAAAGTTAACGGGCTGCGCGCGCCGAGCGTCGCGGCATAGCGGCGCCAACGCCGTGACCTTGTCTGCTTATCGCGAACGAGTGACCCTCGCGACGGCAGATTAGCTGTTTGTTATATACTTTACCTACGCCGACGCACCACGTAGTAAAAGTGAAGCACTCACAGCTTCTAACATAAACAACCCACGCGATCGTTTTTTCTACGTTCATCTGTTCAAAGGCAACTGTCACTCCGCCGAACCATAGCTAACCAGATATCTACTAGATTGATACGTAGCGAACTTTTTAAAACAGTAAACGCTTATAATATTTTGATGTCTGATTCTATAAATGGATCACCAAAAGCAAATATTTATATTCCAAGAAGACACGAGATGATCGTGGAACATGTTGTTGTTATTGTGACTGAAAGCAATATTATTGAAATCATACACCGAGCGCCGATCGAAACGCGTGAGCGAAAGATGACGCCACAGCGAACGTAATAAAAGATACAAGAGGCAAACAGTGGCGATAAACATACTGATAGCTGATAACGATTTGCAGTGATACCGTCCAAGTGCAACCGGCTGAAACGTTCGCGTGCAGAGTTCTACATGGAAAAATACCAATAGTAAAACATCGGCGAAATCTTAATTATACGCGTCTAGATAAAACAAACAAATGGGTTAGGCGGCGATAAGAGCTCGCCGTCGACTTTCTAAAGACATCCTCGCATCGGAATCACAACACGAAATCACTAATCGAAACGAGCGTTCACGCGAACACCGGCTCCGACACATGTACTACACTTGTTGCGCGGGTCAACGGCCTTCACGTACCGGGTTCGCAGAGTCGGCTGAAGTGGTAGGGATTGCAGCAGAGCTGGTCGGTGCAGTGCGGCATCCTGCGCAGCTCGGCTGGCTCCCGCAGGTCGGGGAAGCGGATGGCCCGGAGCACGGGAGGGCGCAGCGCGGCCGGCCCGGGCACGCAGGCCGGGCCGGCCGGGCCCGCGTCCAGCGCGCGAGCCAGCCGCCGCAGCAGGTCGTCCGGCAAGGCGGGCGCGCCGGCCGCTGCCAGCCGCCGCCGGAGCGCGCGTCTCCGGAACATCACATGCCGCCACGGCGTCACGAGCCGCGCGGTCGCCCGCGCCACGCGCCACTTTCGCGTTGCCGACACGTCATCTCTAATCGCGTGCGGCTTCACCACTGAGCCCTGCTGCCGCTCCGCCGCGCCGCGAGCCGCTCGCGTGACGTATTGCGGCTGCCATCGTGACATATGGCTAACTCCCCGCTTTGCTTGCAAAGAATTTGTGGCACTTCAATGCAAACTGAAGTATTTTGAATAGAGTGTAATTAAAAAAATTAATTGATTATGTTTGAAATGATAGAATATTTTCAAGTGGTAATTATGCAGTAATTCTCTGTAATCAATAAATGTACAAAATTACATTTTAATTGAGTGTAAGTACATTGATTTGCAAATTTTTTTTAATAAGTAATCTCTTATTACTAGTCTACTAAACAAATAGTTTTCAAAATTATATTGAATTAACTTGATCTTATGCATACTACTTATAATTCCCTATAAACGGGGAGTTTTCCCCACTGGCCACCCCACGTAAGGCGAGGCGGGTGTGCAGTGGAGGGAAGCGCGGGGGGGTGTCTGGCGCCACCGGCGGCGTCAGGTGCTTATCTATGTGTGCGTGCGGCGCCACCGCACACATACAATGCAGATGTGTTATAACTTTAGCGTATGGACAATACAGAACTGCTTCTCAGAGCCTGGAGAGATCAGGAAGTTAATAAAACATAAGTGCCCAAAGGCTTTAAGCCTTTAACATAGATATGTAAATTTTATATATTTCATTTATTATGTTATGAAGAAAATTTAATTAGGTCATTAAATAAAACCTTTTTTGCAACACAAACTATCGAAATCGTTATTACGAGAGTATAGCTGGTCGTAGGTACTCTCTTCAGCATTTTGAATAAGTAGTTTCATAACGTTTTACCAATGACATATCCATTTATTAAAAGTTTATTATGTTGAAAAATTATTTCTCTTAGTTATACCGCTGACCCAAAAACCTTATTAATACAGAATTTTGTTGGAGTTATAAAGGAATTGTTTGAAAAAATTAAAAACGTCACTATTTTGAACATTTAAGTAAAAAAAATATTTTAAAAGGCATATCTGTATGACAGAGCCGTTCCTCTTTGCCCTTCGACGGAATGCGCTCAGCGAGTGGCGACATAGCATCAAGTTAATAAATAACAATGCGTCCGCACCGCGCAGATAACACCGAATCTTTGACATCTCGTGTGCACACGGCCTTACAGCTGTTCAATTGTATGTACGTGCCCTTATCACAAAAAATAATAAAGTTCCGATTCCGTGAAACAGACTTCTACGATTTATTATGTCGTTGGGAATCGAACCTAATTGACACCTGAACTTGACCAACTAAGCCACATTTCATGTGATTCCAAATAAACTTTTGATTTTTTTAAATTTCCCAAGCAATTGGTTTGCTAGGTTTAAGATGACAGTTACAATAATAAATAAATAAAATAATGTATGAAATATAAATTAAAACAACAAATAAAAACACCAATATTATTAATGTATTAATATCCCATATAAACCGCTAAACCAAGTTTAACAAACTAATATTTTTTGTTTCATCCATTTTAAAAACTACCTATATTTAACTTCTTTAATAAAATAACAATTATTTTTAAATCATTATTATCTGATTAATTCAAAAAAATATTTTTTGTAATATTCAATTAGACTACGTGTATATTGGCGAGATTTTTGCAACTTAATTAACAATAATAGTTGTTAATTAATAAAATTAATTAATCAGGAACATTATCTGTCGGATAACGACCGTACAAACATTAATTTATTTGAAGTTTATCCCATTCATACAGACGCGACCATTTTATACGAATAACGAATTTAATCAATTCTCTTAAAAGGTAATCGAACACACGAAACAAAAATGAATGAATAAGATTGAGAATGAATGAATTATAAAATAGTGGAGTTCAATCACCACTCCGACTCTTGGCTACAATTCAAACATGTCTAATAGATTTTGCACATTTGTCAGCGTTGTCAAACATCGCCGATAGATGGCGACCTACCAAATTTTACGTTGAATTTTTGAAAACGAAATAGGACAATGCAATATTATCATTTATGTCAAGAGTTAAAAGATGCCGGATTAACAAAAAACTAACTTGACTTATTGAAGGGTCTCAATCTAAGTGACACTTATGTTACATATACAGAATATAAGTGTAGGCTTTTGGATATTATCGGGAACGAGAATATTATTTACAATTTATGAGTGGGAAAAGCTAAACAGCTCATTTTGGCTTGAAGTGTGCGATGATTGCTAACATTTGCTTTGCGCTTCTAATTATTAACTAAAGATATATTATATTATGTATTTTAACTAATGTTATGTTATTACTCTCGAACAAGCAAAAAAGCTGGGGCGGCCGCAGAGCAGGCGGAAAATAATAATCGGGTCAAATATAAGGGTCTTTCCTCCAACTTGGTCCCTTTGGTGTAAGGACTCTTGGGCCGTGGGGTTCCAGTGCACCGGCGCTGATTAAAAATTTAGCCTGGTAGATAGTACCGGTGACCAAAGAGCTGGTACTTTCCTGGCTCAACGAATAAGTATCGCAATCGCTGTATTGCCAGCATTAAAGGTACACTGCCACAGGGACCAAAGTTTTTAAATTTGTTTTAATTTTCTATTTATAATTTTTTTAATTATTATTATTACTATGTAGGTTAAGAAAAATGAAATAACTCACGTTAAAAGGTTTTTGCTTAGAGTATTTCATTCGTTTTTATGGATTTTTCGCTACGTTCTAAATTTTATATTCATTAATGATGTATTTATACTTAATTTTTTTTTTTTTTAATAGAACGGGGGCTAACGGGCAGGAGGCTCACCTGATGTTAAGTGATACCGCCGCCCATGGACACTCTCAATGCCAGAGGGCTCGCGAGTGCGTTGCCGGCCTTTTAAGAATTGGTACGCTCTTTTCTTAAAGGACCCTAAGTCGAATTGGTTCGGAAATACTTCAGTGGGCAGCTGATTCCACATAGTGGTGGTGCGCGGCAATAAATAGTTTTTTATACTAAAGCTGACTTCAGTAGTTTGTAGTTAAGCTTTTGTAGTACATGATTAGCAGCACGACAAACCTTCACACGGCAAGACGTAATTTTTAAAATTTTGAATACGAGTATAGCCGGAGGAGGCCCATGTTGTATCAAGAAGTTATACAACATGGGCCTAGAAACTCCTTAAGAATTTGTATTATAATTATTTAGTTGTAACACTTTTGGAAATAAAAGCCTTTATTATTATTATTGTCACTAATAGTTAATGTTTTTTATAAAGTGTGTTTTTTTTAATAAATAATTTTTATCTTTATTCGTTAATGTACATACTTTTTTATTTATAATATTAGTATTTTTAAGTTATAAAATTATAATTAATTAAATCTCTAAAGCCACGTAACTCTCAAGTGATCATAGATGCAAAGACAGTCTCCAAACGATTAATTATTCAACTGGTAATCGAACCTATGATCATGCCGACGTTACATACATTAAGAATAGTTATAAACATGTATTCTTTAATTATATATAAAAAACCGTTTGCAGTTAATATATGACAGGAATTGTCATCAATAAATGAATTTCGTTCGTAATTCTTTGATTAATCTATTCTTCGAAAAAGGTATCTATATATGTGTTTATATATATATTGGTATTATATAATATATACGTAATAAATAATGTAAAAAACATCAGAAAATCTATTTATCAAAAATATTTTATTTGTTATAGATAATCTTTATTTCCAAATAATATAGATGTTACTAATTAAAAATACTTACGTTACATACGTCAACTGTCACACATCGCGCACTCGAATGACAATAAATTTAATTCGTTCACGTGATTTTCGTAAGTTTTTCATCTCGCGACGTGCAGACCTAACTAACGCCGGTACTGAAATGGCGCGAAGATACTGAATGAACGTTTCATTGCACGCATGACAAATTCGTGTTTTTCCTTGTTAATACGTAATAATGCTTCAAGGGGACTTGTGTTAGTAGAATAATAGGATATGAAACAAATATTTTGTTTTAGCTATAATTTATATTCTGTTTGTATTTATAAGTAATGGAGATGTCCATTACTTGAAATTGTCACATTAAATAAAAAGTTTAGTGTTAAGTTTTGTTAATCTTTAATAGTCAATTGGTTTAAAAAAAAAATTTTAACGGACCATCATTGCTGAGCTGCAAAGACCTGTCCAATGAGGATCTTGGTGGTGTTATCTGAATGTTTTAACCCACGTAGAGCAGAAAACGTTAACAAAATAACACCCAAAACTTCAGATATTAACAATACAGTAAAACGAAATGTCCGTTACAAATAAGTACAATATCTAGTCTAAAAGGCCGCAACGCACCTGTGAGCCTTCTGCCAATGTTGGTGTCCATGGATCCTCCTGCCCGTTTGCCTCCTATTACATTAAAAATATCAATAATGTTGTAGGTACAAAACACAATTAAATAAGAAATGATAGCCAAATTACAAACAATTTAATTCATTTTTTATTTAACACCCTTTGTTTATCTGTAATTGATAGGCCGTGTCGTCCGTAGCCAAGTTTTATTTTAAAGACAAATACGACTAATTAAATAGGAATAGACAATATAAAATACAACAACATTTTTACGTTAACGTTTATGTCACTTAAAATAATTCGTAAAACAGAGGCCAGTATAAACCGTAAATAATATTTAGTCAATTGCCAATGTTGTGTATGCATTTAAAAATGAATGTTCTACCAGTTGAAGTATTTTCACAATGGCTTTAATTGTTCCATAGGTTACTTCGTCAAATATATAAATTTATATAATAAGTTATGGTTATTTTGTGTTTCTTAACAATGTGACGCGCATCGCGCTCGTTGAAATCTAATCATCCATATTCCTGAATTTTCCTGTTTCACAGTATTTCTCGAGATCGTTACCGGAAAATAATTTAGTATTTGTCTATGCTAT